GTGCCCAGCTTGAGACACTGAGGTTTGATTTTGTAGTGACTTTGAGCACTCACAGGTGCAACTGAAGTCAGTGGGAGCAGTGTTTTGAACATATACAAGGGAGTACTAAATACACTAAAATAAATCAGGTTATAGGATTTTTAAATTGGGCAGATCTCAGTCTCACCATGCCTTGGCTCCCTGTATCTAAAACGGGCATAATAGCATTTTCTCAGTTCACAAGGAGATTATGAAGATAAATACATTGATACCTGTGAAGCACTCAAGTATTGTAGTAATGATCCCTCTTGAAAATCCTAAAAGAAAATTAATTATTCCATATTCAGAGCAGGGTCTGAAAACAGTGCAGGAAATAGGCTATGGGGCCACACCTAAGAAATGAGGATAAAACAAAATGTTGAAAAGCTTCTTTTTCATTGAGTGCTATCTATTCTGTACACAGAATGAGACTGGTGGTCCGTGGAAAAAAAATAATAACTCATCTTGTAAAGACCGAATCAGCACATAAAAGCAAGGAGGCTAAATAAAGGCTGCAAACTTAGGGCATATCTACATCAAATTCTATGCTAGGGAGCATTGCAGTGAAGCACAGCATGTCTGGTCCATGTATGCTTCACCCCAAAAGAATGTGAGGTAGGCAACTGTAGCTTGATAGTAGACATACCCAAATAAGCATGCCTACAACTGAGAAAACTTGACACTTGCCTAATGATGTACACTGCATCATTTTGAGGTGCAGTATGCACAGCATCTGGCACTCCTGCATTGGTGTTTGGGTAGTGTACGTGTGTCTTTTAATATAAAGTTGCTAAGAAGAATTTTTCCAACTATTTGAGTTGGTCTAATAAAAGATATCAGATTTACCCAAAGAACCTTGTCTGTCTATGTTCTTAGACCAACATGTCTACAACCTATACCCCTGTCTTTTAATATAACATTTTTGTGCAATTTCTTAATATTTTTAAGAAGCAAACTGACAAACTCTGTCTTGTGGTATTCATCTCCCCCCTGCATTTGACTCAGCTTCCTCCTCCGTGCTACTCTGGTACCAACAGGGAAGTCCTGGAGACTACAGGAGAGAGAGACACCTTGCTCTCAGTTCTGGTGGCCATCCCCAGCTTTGCCAGAGTAGCTAGAAGTAGGAATTATAGCTTCACCCCTGCAGCACCAGACTACGGCATCCTCAGTTGTTCTGTGCAATGGCTCATGCAGTCATGTCTCATTAGCTCTAGATGCTATATTGAGAAGCCTGAACATGTTCACTGAGAATGAAGCTGCTAAACCATAAGATGTCTATATTGCATATATACAAGCTGAGATTTTTCCCCCCCAAAGGCTTGTTTATAACTTGCTAAAATGAATTAGGGTTTGCACAGAAAAAACAAAATGCCTATCCCTGACCCAAAGGCCATTCTCTTCTTGCCTTTTCACTGCTCCTATTTCAAACCATGGTGCATTTCAAAACAAATTTAAATAGCAAAACAATTAATTTTTCCTCTAAGCTTGTTCTCAGAAATAAGACATTTTGGCTTTAATGTTCCTGAAAACTTCAGACTAAGGTGGATACCTGCATGGGAAATGTCAGTCCAAAAAATTACAATTTTATGAAGTAATGGATGCTTTGAGGATCTTTAATAATAGGCAGAGCTCCCAGCCCCAAGTATAATGTACCCTACTAAAATGATATTCAGTTAAAATTAACATATTGAATATTAATTGCAGGACTTTCGCTGGATATAAGTGGTAAAAAAAAGAAAAAGAAAGTCTTCACTGAGTAAAATGTGAACGCAAAATATACTTCACTGAAAGTACCATTTTGGGCAAAGTTGGCACAAACCATTGTGTAACAAATGCAGAAGTCTTTATAGGGGCACAGAGTGATTATTGTTTGTTCTTTGTTTTCTTGCATTCCTGAAAGATGGATGCATCAATACTACAAATGTGTTGCTTAGTCAACAGAAATTTACATAAAAAAGGTTCTCATTTAAGGGGAAACTGGATCCTTACTTCAAATATAACTTTACTCACTTTCAATTAAGAATGAGGTCTTGAAGCATTATCATAATGCTTTGTTTGCAAGACCATTCCACTCATGAAAGTGTTACTTGCTGAGAAGGACGTATGATGGGTTCAGAAAACAAGTGTTGCTTCTGAACAGTAATCTGTGCATACATTTTGCAATCCCTAATCATATAAATTTGGAAAAATGTATTAAATAATTGTGAAATGTGGTTAAATCTTGCTACAGGAAGCATTGCAAGCTAAAATTCTGAAAAGCTCGCTACATGTTTTGCTTGCAAAGTACAGTGAAAATAATTCAGTGCTAAGTACACCAAAGTACACACAGACATTTTAGTTCACATTCAATTTCAGTTGTAAATGGTCTAAAAAAGTAGCTCTGGAAGAGTTATAGAATTCTGTTCATTGTGACTTGAACAAAAACACTAACCCAATTACTTAGAACATATATTTTATTTGTCTTCTAATGCACTTTGTGTATTTGGAAAGACTATAACTTACACTGTTGCATTCTGGAAGTCCTAACACTTTAACAATCTTACTTCTATCATTTTAGTGCCTTGCCATTTGATACCTATTAAAGATCATTGTAGTCATTTCCAATTCCAGACTCAGTTATTATTCACCAGAATTTGAACTGCAGAAATATTTTGAAGGGTAAATTTAATTACTCATTGCCAGTCTCCTCCTCTTTCTATATACTCACAGAATTAAAACCATTAAAACCAAGCAAATATAAACCTATATATATATATGTTTTAATTAGCATTTACTTGGCACACAAGTGAAACTAAGAAAAGGAAGGAGAGCATACAGCCAAATTTACAACACTCTAGAGCAAATGATAAAAAAGAAAATGAACAATAATAAAAAGACAACTTCCAATGAACACACTTACCTCCAAGCCAATTAGAGACATCTGGACAGAGGAGTTTTACAGTTATGGTTATTAGGTACAAACATTTTTCCTGTCACAAAGAGTCAAGAAACTAGGCCTATACATAACTGCCACCTCCTTTCAGACTTGTCCTGAAGGTGACATACCACTGAATTCAACTAGCAACCTTCTAGGTCAAAAGAAAACAAGGACTTTCCTTGTTTTTCAAACTTGTCGTCTTGGTGCTCCTGAGTCTGCAGCAGTCATATCTTGTGTCCTATCTTTTGTCATTACATCTCTCATCTTTCCTGTTGCAAAGTGTTCAGGTCTTCCAAAACTAAACTTTAGACCCCTGGCTATAAAAGGAGATATGTAGGGGTTTCTTTTATTTTAAGTATTTCATAACACTTCCTGAGCAATAGACTCTGAGCAAAAGTTGGGGAACTATTTAAACAATTGACAGGTGAGAGAGATGGTGTCATGTATACCAGCTTACCTCCCAAGTCTTAATCTTTTCCAATGCTTGTTTTTTAAATTATATTTTCTTATTTTGGGCAAGCAGGAAGGGCTTTATGGCCCATGCTTTGGTGAACCATGGCATATGACATGTGACTGCCTCACCAAATGGGAGGAAACTGATCATTTTTTTTTCTGCAGTCTATGAAAATGATAAATTGAACCTCTTCTGATAGCTATAGCTGTGGCTTGGAATTTGCACATAGAGATTTTGTATTGTTTTGACTTTCAAGGTTGCAACTGCAGTGTTGCCAACTCTTATGATTTTTGGCACTGTTTTTAAAGTCTACGTTTTGGGACCGTGAAAAACGTAACTCTTTCATGTGTGTGTGTGTGTGTGTGTGTGTGTGTGTGTGTGTGTGAAAGAGCTATGTTTTTCACGGTCCCAAAGCATAGATTTTAAGGATGAAAAGAATACACTTAAAGCACTGTAACTTCTGTTTGTAGAGTCTTCACCATTTTTCTTAGTTTATGTGGATCTAAGTTTCAAAGGGGAAATAAATTACTGAGAAGTATGGGTGTAGGTTATACTCAGTTGCACAGAAATGTACTACTGCTGCCTTTAAAAAAAAGGGAAACAAGGCATAGTTTGGAGACAATAACCACATAAGTGATTTCCTTTTCTTTTTCAGTGATTGTCATCACTTTAAAAATCATCTTGTATTTTACATAAAATAAAATCCAAAGCTTTTTTAATTTTGTAAAAAAATCTAAACATGTAAATGTAAAGTTATGAAATAGCCTTGTAAAAAGAGAACTTGTTAATGGTAAAGTGTTGCTATTAATAAAAAAAATCCAAATTCATTTTACCTGGCCTTTTATGACCTATTTTACAACACTCTTATTTGTATGCATTCCTTCTCAGTGACAAATTGAAGGAGACACTGCCAATTTAATAGGATACAAATGACCTAAAGTACCTTAACAATTTCCCTTTCTACTAGCTCTTTTTTCAGCACTCCCAAGCTGTCTGTGTTTGTTTTCCAATTAATCTAGGCAATTAGTCAAATTATCAAGGAAAAAAAAACAAAACAAACAAACAAAAAACACCCAACCCTTAAGTGCTGATTTCTAACAGACTAACAATGAAGCAGTTCATGACTGTGTTATGACAAGCAATATCTTTTGTTTCTAAACATATGTAAGACCCAAGCAGCATACCAAAGACATTTGCATGTTGAGAATGGTGTAACTATTATAAAGCTACTTGATGAAAACTATAAACAGATAACCCCTTACTATTTTGCAGAGAATCTTTGTCTACAAGAAGTATCCACTGAAAAT